TAATTTAAGCATAATAAAATTTATGTAATCTGAATTTATTTTTAATTCAGCATTCAGAATACTGGCAGATCTAATTCTTGCCTATTTCCATCTTTCAGACAAAGCCAGGACCAATCAAGGCGGCCGGTTCTCACTCTGAGCGCTCTGCTTTAGTGTACTGCTACAACTGTTCCCGGAAAGGACATTTTGGATATGTAAGTCTCAGCAGTCTCTGCCTCAGTGTTGAGTATATCCTTGGGATAGAAATTCATCTCTGCCATGGTGTGTGGTTGGAGAAAAGAGCTGGAAGAGTCAAACTAATGCTATACGAAGGGCCGCTCTAATGAAATGTTTGTGATTTCGCAGCACTGCTGCAATCAGTGGAAGCCAATGTATAAAGTGATCTTACCCATCTAATTTAGAGATACGGAGGAAAAGAAATGTTACTATCTCTCCTTGGCAGGTTTATTGATTTGTTTTTTAAATCTTAAGTCAAAATGAGACTGCCTGAGAGAGCGAACGTTCATTGGAAAACAGACAGTTGCTGAACAGAGTTTGCTTGCTTGCTTGCTTGCTTTTCTTTCTTTCTTTTCTTTCTTTTCTTTATTTTCTTTTCTTTCTTTTCCTGTGCTCATGGGATGAAACATTAGTGCCTTACTACCATGTTCAACATGATGTAAGGTTTTCACCACAATCAGCCCAACAATTTGAATGTCCGTTTTAGGGATTTTCCATTTCTGCCTGCTTTTGATGATCCTTATTTGTAGTTTCTTAGTTTAATTCAACATCTGAATTAAGTTTGACATCATCCTTCTGTAAGGTACACAGCCTGGTGAAGGAGGACATCATGATCCTTAAGTGGCTTCAGTAAAAACTGGAAGTGTGCTACATCTTCTAGCATCAGCAGATGGCTTGCTGATTGTTTATCACCTTTTTCAGCCCCCTGTCTACCTGCAAACATCAACACCAAACAAATGTTAGTTCTTTTCTTTTATGGAATAAGTCCAGAAGCCACAAGTATTCTAGAAAATGAATGATACTCGCGCATTGGATGAGTTAAGTTTATTGTTTCCTACAGCTTAGAGAGAGCAAATTCCCAGCAAATTCCTTCCTTCTCTCCTGTGTGCTCTGTGTGTTGACTCCTACAGCTACTGAAGATGTACCATTAAAAGCTTGCTGCTGTTTTCAGCTAAATAGTTAATCCCTGTGGGGAATAGTGGGACAGGTAGGGCAGGTTTGCTGGGATCTTCTCATGGCAGAGTTGAAAGATAAACGGAAGATTTTTAATGCCAAGTTGTCTTTGGAGACAAGTGAAGATTTTTCTCTTCGAGTGGTGTGTTGAGGCCATCGCGTACGTCCAGGACACGCTGCTGCCTGCACAGGCAGGTTGGAAGGCGCAGGAAATAAGCAGCTGCTGCAATCCAAGCACAGTAAGAGACGAGTGTGTGCCAGCAGCCTGGTGTCACCCCTGGCACGGCAGGAGTACAGGCACTGCCTTGGCTGTGGTACAGCAGTCCAAATCCTTGGCTTCACCTGCAAGACATCTGCTCGAGACACAGCTACATATGCGGCAGCGGTGTGAGACCTCAGCGATACAGTCATGTGAACTAGCTTGTTCTCCCTGCTGTTTGGGACTAGAGCTAATAAAACCTATGAAAGCAGCATTGAAACTGGTCCTGCTAAACAAAACCAGAATAAAGCCCCTGACACTAATATAGACACTAAAATGAGCATATACAATAAAAACTGAAGTGACAGGATTGAAGAAGTGAGACTGATTGCTGGCAATGGATAAGGAACCTTTTACTAAACCGTCAAAAAATGGCATTCGAGGGAGGCAGCCATACACGGATACAAATAAGGCTGCTGTAAAAATAATTACTAAATATGTGGGAGAAGCTGATAGTAATTACTTGGATAGAAAATGGTATAAACTGTATAAAATCAGTAAGGGAGTAAAGTGACTCAAGGACAACACTTTATGGCTATCAAAGTTAAAGAAGGTAAGATAGTGTTTTTACTAGCATACAACAAGCAGAAATAGCCTGAGCAATGACTGAATGAAAATGGAGAAGTCAAAAACAACACAGAAGGGCAGAAATACTCACCAGATCTTTCTATATGCATACAGAAAACATCCAGGACACACATAGGATTATGTAATGATAACTGAGTATTTGTCCTCAAATCACTAAAACTTCTATCCAAGAATGGCAGAGGAAATTGGACCCGTGGCCTGCATGTGCATCTTTACAGCGACCCAGTTGGACAGGCAATGCATCTGAGGTTTTCAGCTCTCACTGGCTAAGAAAACTGAGGTCATAATCAGTGCCTAAGTTCATGCGATGAGCAGCTCTGTTACAGCTTCAAAGATCTGCCTATAATTTAAGGGGAGGAAAAAGAGGGGGGTTTATTGATGGGGTTTTTTTAAATGTAAGTATTTTTAAGCGGGTAAAAATCACTTGTGATGACAAGCATCTCTTAACATTTTTCCCATTTCTGTACCTCAGGAACCCTGCTCTATTGCCTTTTTTTGAGCGGTTAAAGCAGAGGAATAACAAACTGACCAAGAAGAAAAGGCTGGGGTTGGTTTTGTATAGATGCACCACAATCAGTGCTTCCCACTGCAGTCCGTTTCCTTTCATGTTACCATTTGATGTACTTTAGGAACACCTGAAATTCCTTTTCTTTGCTAGAGGTCTAGGGAGACCTTTCCCAAAAACAGGCAAGAGCAAAAAACTTGCTAAATCCCAGAGTGAACTGTGCAGTTCCAGTAAGGACGTCATTGCCGGTCACTTCTTGTTTGTAGAAATGGAAATAGTTAAGACATAAACTGTCAGAGGTTCCAACACCTGGCAGTTATGTTTCCTGAATTTGCTGTATTGTTTATTAAGACAGTCGTATTTTTATGTAAACTAAGGATTTAATAAGGACAAGAAATCTTATTTTCTTTAGTAGACTTCACATCATAGTTCATTTCATAGCAGTCCACACATCCAAAACATTGTCTCTTAGGGTCCATAACAAAGATGTGCTCATTTTAAGCAGCATTCCCGTAGGAAAGTTAAGAGGGAGGGCAAGTTAATGAGGGACAGCCCACTGCATTATTCAGGCTGCAGCAAGTTCTAAAGGCAGCAGGGATAAGGAACTGTAGGGTATCTGCAGATGTGCCTTGCATTCATATCCCAGTATGCCAATCACACAGAAAATTCCTCCTGCAGGTTGGTAGCAGGCTCTGCTTTCCATCCTCTGTACGATACCTCCAGCGCTGACGACTGTCCCAAGAGTATTTAGTAGTACACAGTGTATGGCAGCAGTGGCAGCTTACTTGAGAGGAATGGATATAGCCAAGTGCATGTTGGACATTGCTGACCTGATTTATCAATGTAGTGGAGATAAAGAGGAAAAGAGGAGCAGCGATTTGGGTGGCATGTGCATTTCATTCACTAAGGCTTCTCTGTCAGCATATTAACAAAAGAAAAATAATGAACGGGCCACATGCCTGCAGAGCAAGCCCTAGATTTGATGCGGGATGTCAAGCAGTACATTTCACAGGTATCACAGAAAGATCAATGTGTCTTTGCATGCTCCTGTGTAAAGCCAATCTATTTTGTTTTCAGTAGTTTCTTCGGCAATGTTTAGGGATAATATTTTCTTTCATTTATTCCAGATAGGCAGGCAGCTTTTTGCCCTGCCTAAAGGCCACTCTTAGGTTTCACTCGTGAAACACAGGTATCTGAAGTGTCGTTTCTCTGTTATGCTTTTCTCTCCTCTTAAATCTGAGGGAGGTAGATGGAGGACCCAGGAAGGGTGAGAGAGGAGGTTTCTTTGTAGGGCAATAGCTCGCTGTTTAAGGTGTTCAAGTGTGAAATCTGGTCCATCTGCCAGGATACGCCTATCTCAGATGAATAGCTACTGAGAACGGTCTCAGGCAATGGATGGACTCACATGCCCCCTCCTAGGTCCCTTTCAGCTTGATTTCACAGTGGGGTAAGGCTGAGCCCTCAGACTTGGGGAGGCTCCAGCTACAAGCTGCCATTGCTCGTCTGCACTCCTCCACGTATGTGGAGACAAGCCAGTTGTCACACAACCTAACGGTATCCTTTTGGAGGACACCACAGAAAATAACCTGATTCTTCATTTAATTTCAGCCAAGCAAAGACCAAATACAAGCTGAGAAATATGAAATACATCTGAAATGCATCTTTGATGTACTCTGCCTTTAAAAAAGATAGGGTAGGAGGACACACAGGGAAAGGGGGTGCTAGAGGTGGCACTGAGTGGTAGAAATAGGAAACACAAGAAGGAAAGCTGCTTCACTTGTTGTGGAGACATCGGGGGGCCAAAAGCTTCTGACAGTTTCTTGACAACAGCAAGGCCCAGAGCTCATTAGATTTGGGCAGTGTCCAAGAATTAGAAAGATGATGTTGCAAAGCACAACAGTTAACAAGAAATTTACGAGTAGAAGACAGCATCGGTTAATATCACATAGTACCCTGAAAGAAAAGATAGAATCATAGGAAGCATCCCAGTTAGCCTGGCTCGCAAGACATTGCTAAAACTTTGTGTACAGCAGTGAAAAAATTCACATTCCTGAATCAAGTGTTTAGGAAATAGGCTGACATGCATGTGATGCAAGAGCCAGCCCTCTCCTCACCTCAGCCAACTGTTTGGGGCTCTCTTCCTCTTCCCTGCAATCTGATGAGCTAGCACATCAGTCTCCTTCAGGATTTGCTTTTGTTTTGTATCTGTGAGAAAACTGCATACAATCAGACACACCATTGTGGCTGCAGATGGGCTGTGTGGGGAGGATGCTGCCCCTGACTCCTCATCACTGCCCACTCCTTCCCTCAGCCCACCTCACCCCACCCTTTGAGTCTGCCACATTTCTGCACATACTTTCACCCCAAATGATCCAGGTTAAAAGACCTCACCTGCAATTAGAAGTATTTGTCTTTCGAGGAGACCGGGCATGTGGTTGTGCTGGGAGGCCAGAGGGAGCAGTGAGAAGCAGCGAAAGCAGGTGTGGGGGGACTTGGCCCAGCTGCAGGCAGGACAGCCCTGTTCCCCAGATCCAACAGCTGTTTGCAGTTTGCCTCATATTTACCTAGTGCTCACCTGCTTCTAGTCCTCTGCTTGTATCAGTGCTACAGGTGTGTGGTAATTGCAGGAAGACATGGGATTCCTTCCATTTGCTGCAAGAGGACTGCAGCTTGGCTCATCTAATGCATGTTTTTCTGTGTGCACAAGGATTATTGGATGGTAATAAACTTATCAGTGTCTAAAGAATTGCTGGCCACATCCTCCACAAGTACAGGCCAGCACCTGCAGAATCTGACCCATTTCCCTTCCAGGAGAATTGCAACTCGGCAACATCTAGTGACTTGAAATGTGTTTTGCAGGAGTGCTCAGAAAAGCGGATGCATGGGGGCATGCTCCCTACTTCTCCATTTATCTACTACTATGATGATGAATACGATATCAAGAGAAGAGCAAACAGATTAAAAAGAAAGGTTGCAGGTACAGTATATTTTGGGAGATCCCTCCTGCCTTTCAGTTCTTTGAAATATTTTGTTCTGTGCTTGCTGCTTTTAGAAATATAGTGGGATTATTTTCATGTGTTGGGAAAAGCTATAGGGATTTGAACAGATAGTCTAACAGTAGTAAAAGATTTGTGACTTTACTCATCTGTGTCTATCATGGAAATTTATTGTGTCGAAGCCACTAGGTGGGTGTTGTCAGATGTTTTAATTCTAAAAAATTCACTGACATTAAAAATGCTATAAACTAGCAGGAAAAGGATTAAACTGTAATTTGTTAAGATTCTAGTCTGTTGACAGAAAAAAAAAAACCTAAGAAATATCTATCAGAGAGAGTTTTTTTCCTAACTAACTTCATACATAAGGAAAGCTGTGATGGCTTGGGCACTAGGTTTTAGGTTTTCTGAATAGATACTGAAATAAACTGCTCTGTTTTACAGAACTACAGGAAGCCGGCCTTCTGCCAGAACAGTCAGAGACACCGTGGCAGGAAGAAAAACATGGGGGCCACAGCCATAAGAAAAAGAGCAAGCCTTGGAAAGAACACGGGAAACATAACAAAGATGGCGAGTGTCACAAAAAGATGAAGATGTCCCGGGCAGAGAAACCCAAAGAGAAACACAGAAGTGATGTTGAAATTGGCCACAAGATGGAGGAAGACTTACCTAGAGGGTGTAAAAGGCAGGCATGCAAGGGCAGCAAAATCCATCACAAGTCCATTTTCCAGGCATTCTCAGGCAGCAAGACTGCATATGTGCAGGAGCCTCTGGAAGGTGCTAAAAGGAAGAAGAAATGGAAAAAGCAGAAAGGCGCTAGTACTGATATCAATGAGAATTTATTCCTCATAAAACAGAGGAGGAAGAAGTCCAAACAGAAATCCTGGTGATGAGGAAGTAGATAGGTGGCACCGGCATTTACTGGCTCCGGCTCTGCCTTCTGTTTATTTTTGTCCCTCTCTTAGCACACTGAACTTGAGTCCGTCCTTGAACCCGGGCGGGCATGCCCAGGCACCAGTCACACATCTAATATCCATCTCTGTTCCTGAAAGGGAGTGCTGTCTGTCGTGAACTGTCCACTTGACGGGCAGGACTCAGTGTACTTGTGCCTGGAATGGCTGTACTTTTCAGCAGTCCCAGAATAGGCTGTAAGTTTATTTTCTTTGCTTTGCAGGGGGAGTGGGGAGGGGAGGGAGCCATGCTGGGTTTGGTAGGTTTTGTTTCTTCACTGGTGAGATGTTGCTCTGCCTGTCAGAGCAGGATCTGCAGCTAGGGAGCACAATGCCTTTGGAACTGACGCTGGAGAGACTCTCATATTTGGAGGAGTCAGGCTGGAGGCCAGGGACATGGATGTACAGCACGTTCTCCGCAGCCACTCAATCCTCTCCACAGTGCAGCTTTTCACTTCTGTCCCTCCTGGAAGATGCTGTGAAGCCGTTGCCGTGCACTTTGGGATGTGACAGTCTCTCCCCTTGCGCTCTAATGTGGTGGTGTGGATCCATCACCCTCAGTGCCACGGCTTTCGGTGCTGAGCACAGGCGAGCCCTGTGCGAGCCCATTCTCTGTCTTTGCCAACTAGTCAGCACGGCAGGAGAAAGCAGCTGAGAAATGGAACAGAGTTTACATCTGGAATTAAATATGTCCATGTTCCCCTTGATGTGGAAGTTGTTTCTGGAGAAAAGATAGCAGAGTATGAAAAATGTATTTGATTCCAGACATACTGTGCTAAAATTTAGTAATTTTTTTAAAGACAGTTATTTTTGTACACTGGAATTAAAGAAGTGTGTTGTTAAAAGCTTTGTAAGAATAAATGCTTCATCAAAGGAATAACCCAAATAAAACTTTACATGAGGGATATAAAAAAAAAAATGTAGGTTTGTTCTATATTTTCTTGCATTACCAAGCATAATTAAAAACTCTTTAATTAAATAATTAACATAATTTAAAAGCTCTTTTCTGAGCTGAAACTGCATCACTTCTGCATCACTTCCTGTTTTGAAAAGGAAATTATCTATACTCTACTGATTCATGACCTACTCTATACTATACCATTCCTTTTGCTAAGCAATTGATAGTACATGTCCTCTCTTAATTCTTACTAAGAAAGGGGCCTTTGGCTATGGTTGTGTTTTGAAATTAAAAAGTATTTGTAACCTGTGCTAATGCAAGGATATCGGAGGAGAGGAAATGGGTACACTAGAAAAAATTCAGGATTATCATTCTGCCAGTAGTATTCCATGCTGGTGCTCCCTGAATTCATCAGCATTTTCTTTGGCAAGGTCACCAGTGAGAACACTGGTATTTTACTGACCGTATCACCTCATCTCAGAGGTGTTTGGAGTAGAGCTACACCTACATAATACTTTAGAACCTAATGCCCAGTTTTGCTTAAGTGCATCCTTGTGGCAACTGAAATTCATTTTTGCTTAACTTCATTGATTACTTGATTGAAAAGTTCCTGATAATATTGAAAAAGTAAATCACTTTTAGCCCTAATTAAAAAAAAAAAAATTAATTCAGCTCCTGAAAAGTCTTGCCCCTAACATTGAAACTCATCTTTTCTTGTGTGCTGTGTTTTACATCCCTTTTTGTTTATCAATATCTGGTTATATTTGACCAAAAGTCTCCAGTAGCCTTTAGCTGAACCAGCATGTCAACTGGTAGATAGGGAAGGAGGGTTGTTTAGATTAAGTACCGAGATCAACTTTTCTGATGCATTGGTTTGGTCATGTGGCCAGCTAAGTTGTCACAAGTTCAGTAAATCTCCAGGAGCTGCACCCTTCTTCAAAGAGCCACCGAGAGTTTAGGAGACTGCATTCTTGCGCTCGTGTCCCCTAACACTTCCTTGGACAGAAGTGTCACAATGAAGGGGATTCCCAAAGGGACCAGATTCTCTGCCTGCAAGAGATGGATGGCTCAGGCGTCAGGAGTCAGCACTGCCCGGGGATACATAATAAGCCTGTACCTGCTGTACGTGGACACCATGCAGGGATGGAAAATCTCTGCTCTAATAACGGGTGACTACTCTCAGAGGATTGCATCCTAGTGGCTGTTCTACCTCCAGGGATAACTAGAAAGCACGTAAGTACAAAAATAGGGAAAGGACAACACTCCTAACCTGTGGTTAGGCAGATTTTAGGGAATCTTACCTCCCAGAACTGTTTTCTCCACCATTTTTCAAGCTAATATTCAGTAAGTTTGGGGGGTTTTTTTAAGGTAAAAGTGACTCGGTGAAATTGTGGCGCCACCATTCTCTTCACTGTACAATAGTGCAGTAAGAACTGGTCCATGCGCTGGAGAGTTTTCAGATCCTCCATGCCTCTCATTTACTGAAGAACATCATGAGCAGGTAGTTTGCTGCTTCACTCCCCCAAAACTGAAGCAGCTGTGTTTTAAACAATGTCCAAGAGGCCAAAGCGAAAACTGAACTGCAATAGCAGCTAACGAGAGATCGCTCTGAGCCGTCAGTCTGTTTGTGAGGTGTTTTATGGGTGCCGTGTGGTGTGCTGTAAAAGAAATAAAACAGACGCTCTTAGATGTGAAGGGCGGAAGAGCATTATTCTGATGGCTACCGGGGTAGCATGCTCTGGAGAGGATGCCCATGGGGACCTCCTCTGAGTCTCTACCTCTGACTGTCCTCGTTCCACCATTCTCTTCTCCATTTTCAAAGGAACCTGCAAGGAGATACAAAGTGCAATTTACTCCTCCTCCAGGCATTATGCAATGGCTTTATGTGATGATGCGTTATTTAACAGCCTAGCCCATGTGAGAGGCGACATTGGTAGCGGGAAGATGATACATGTTGAAATAGCTCAACACAAGAAAGTCTATCAGTATTGCCGTGCCAGTGAGGCTGCTGTAGGAAGGCTGATACACCAGCTCAGGGGCAGCGGCGTAGCCCCTGTGCATAAGAGGTGCAGATATCTTTACATCGCCTGTGTGCAATGCCAAATGGTGGTCAGATGTGGAGCGAGTCAGTTTTTCCTAACTCCTCCTCTGAAGATAAGGTGCCTGGCCACTGTGGCAGGAGTTAAGCCAGCCAGGAGTCCCAAGTTGTTTCTCTGATGCTCGCTGGCTTTCAGCCAACAATATTTCACCTTGAACTCTTCTATGGAATTTTTCAAAACCAGTTATGTGCTGGTGAGCAAAACCCTGCCTTGTCTTGGGAAGCTAATGGTGGAAAGTCTAGGCAAGGTGTGTAACTTACACAAGTGCTTGGTGAAACCCACAGAAGCCTGGCTGTAGATTGTGGCTTCTGCCTGTCACTGGCAGTGACTGTTGCAAGCATCAGATGACACGTTTGTGGTGGAAACCTCTCTGGCTTTCCCTCTGAGTACTGAGCAGCTTCCCAATCCTGCAGATATCTAACCTGGCTTTTGCTCTGATAGATTTCTGTTGCTTGTGGTTGCAAGACAGTAAAAGCACAGAGAAAGGGGGGTATTTGGGACCAAGGAAAGAGAAAAAGATAAACCAGCAACATTTGGAAGCAGATGGGAGCTGGATGAAGGAACTTCTTCTAGCAACCTTGCAGGTGAAGGCCAGGATCTGACTGACTGAGGAGCAGTGTTGCAGTGCAGCTCCCAAGCTGAACATGAGACAGCAAAGCTGTGATAAAAGAAACGATACTGCAGAACATATACAAACGGGAGCATTAACCACAAGTCCACTTAGGTCATGGCAGGTTAAGACATCACCTCAAATACTAACTTATGTCAGGCTTTGCACAGCAAGACAGAGCGAATCTGCTCTAGGGGGCCCACCAGAGAATTCGGAGAAGAATCCAAGGGTCCAGATAATGCAGCTAGCAAGGAAAGACTGATGTGAATGAGGCTGTTTTTTTCTAGAGAAAAGCAGCTGGGTAAATAAGGTGCAAAGGAAAATGGCTCTTCTTAATATGGGGGTGAGTAGGACAACAAAGCACACGCTTAAAGAACAGCAAGAAAGGTGTAGCTGAGACACCAAGAAAAAAGACCTTAAAACGGTAAAGGTGACGGGACCACAGCAGGTTGTCTGAGAAGGGCATGCAGTCTTGCTGGTGGGTTTCAGGGAAGAGTTGAACAAACATCTGCCAGAGGTGACAGAGATGATTGAGCGAGCCAATGAGTGGGTAGACTGCTGAGGTCCTTTTCTTCAGTGGTCTCAGCAGACTGGTCCTTTCCTCCCTTCTGCGTAAGCAGCAGTGCCCTGAGCTGCCGTTGGGCAGAGTAAGGGCAAGCATGCCTGTGACCAGGCAGTGCTGGAATGGAGAGCAGGAGAACCAAGACTCTTACATCCCACCAGCTGCATGGGACTGCCCTGTCTTCAGCAACTGCTCACCAGCCCGGGGTAGTGCTCAGGTGCCTGAAACTCGGTGCCTCACATCTCACAACCAGCATACTCCACTCCAGCTTCAAAACCTTTCCTCAGACCGGGTGCTGGAGCCTTCTTGCACCTGGGAGCAGCAAGGTGCAGCAAGACAAGAAGGATTTGTCTCTTGCCAGCCAGCAGGGCTGTAGCAGGACCCTCATTTGCAGACACGTTTCCAGCCCCAGAGATGGAGTCCCACGGTATACACCCAGTCAGTGAACTGTTTCCCCCAAAATCATTAAACTCCCCATGGACCGGTCAGGAAATCTCTGCTTACCTGCTGGAGAAGCGAAACCAAGTGTCTGGTCTGTGTGCCCATGCAGTGGGCTCCACTCACGGGTCTCTCTTGGGCCACTTGAAACAGAACAGGTTGCGTCCGGCACCAGCAGGCTGTTACTGGTAATCATTGCCTCCCAGCACTACCAGTAAGGCTTCTGTCTAGCAGCTGATGAATTTTACAGAACTTTTAGTGCAAAAATAATACAGTTGAAGAAGTTTTCGCTTTAGATGAGAAGGACAGGATAAGGAAAACAGCAAAAAGGGTTGATGCATTTTCTACCAGCAAAAATACCACCACATTAGGTACTAGTTAAAGGAAAGCACTGCATTAAAATCCTTTTCTGGACCAGGTGACTTGCAGACTGAGTTACTTTCATCAAGCTCCATTTTATCCTATTAAACCAAAATGTACTTCAGCCTGTCATTCCTCCCACCTGTTTTTTTCCCCCTCTTTTAAAGAACTGTCAGTCTTTACTCCAGAGATGCCTGGGACTGAAAAACATGCTTATCCCAGGAGAGGATAGTGTCTCAAGGTCACAGTTGATGTGCACTGGTGAAGCAGCATGAGGAAACCTACATTGCGTGAATAA